TGAACCCTGGCCAGTTGATCTTTTAGACTTTCCTATTGTCTGGATTTTGCTGATTGCATGAGGCACATTTAAATATGTTCCTTTGTCCTCTGTATTTCCCGCAAATTGGCAGACCAGAGGCTTACTCAAACTCATTGGTTCCCTCTGGCAAGACTATAGATACTCTTCCATAGTGTCTGTTTTTTTCACTTTTTTGGATGTAAGCAGCCGCTGATGTTGAACACCGACATCTTTTTGTTTATTGAAGTTTGTAAAACTGTCACTTTAATTCTCTCATTTTGTTTTCATTTTTACCTGGAATAATCTTATAAAGACATGCTTCCCTCTCCTCTACTATTTGGTTACCCAATGGTAAAAAGTCATATAGGGAGGATAAAATAACTGCTTGTTTCTTTCCTTTACTCACTTGTCAAGGCAATTAGTTGGTTTGCTGTGATCCTCAGAAAGTGACCAGTTAGCTTTTTTTTTCATTATATTGTGATAAACTTATAAACCTAAATACATTTGATTCATTTCTCTTCACTGTTTTATTAAAGTTTAAATTGCCTCTTTGGGGCGCCTGGGTGGCTCAGTTGGTTAAGCCACTGCCTTCAGCTCAGGTCATGATCCTGGAGTCCCAGGATCGAGTCCTGCGTCAGGCTCCCTGCTCTGCTTCTCCCTCTGACCCTCCCCCCTCTCATGTGCTCTCTCTCCGTCTTTCATTCTCACTCTCTCAAATAAATAAATAAATAAAATTTAAAAAAAAATGAAATAAATTGCCTCTCTTTAGTTAGTTGGTCTTTTTGATATGACCCTAGTCATCCTTGCTATCTAGTGTGCCAGGATGTTCCAGACTTATCTTGTACATTTTCTTCCTTGGACCTTGTAATTAGCTAGCTACTCAATGAAAAACTTAGTTTTATTTTTTAATTTTTTTAAAGATTTTATTTATTTGAGAGAGAGAGAACATGTGAGAGAGAGCACAAGCAGGGGCAGCAGGCAGAGGGAGAAGCAGGCTCCCCACTGAGCAGGGAGCCCGATGTGGGACTCGATCCCAGGATCCTGGGATCATGACCTGAGCCGAAGGCAGACGCTTAACGACTGAGCCACCCAGGTGCCCCCCCCTTTTTAAAAAAAAAAACAACTTAGTTTTAAATACACAGGTGACACATGGATGCATTCTTGGAAAACTTTGAATGAACAAGATTCTTCCCTCAGTCTTCCTCTACCCAGAGGTAATCTCTGTTACTATTTGGTTAACTGTCTTTACATACCCTTTCCTATGAATTTTTATATTTACAAACAGAAATAAGTAAAATATAGAGATCGTTTTCTTTTTCATGTGATTTTTTCTAACTTTTGACAGTCATAAATGATAACTTGTACTTTTTTTATTCAATTATATATCTTGATAATTTTTTTGTTAGTACATAGTGCATTCTTTTTAAACTGCTACTTAATATTTGATATGGTGGCGCCTGGGTGGCTCAGTCATTGAGCCTCTGCCTTCAGCTCAGGTCATGGTCCCAGGGTCCTGGGATCGAGCCCCGCATCAGGCTCCCTGCTTGGCAGGAAGCCTGCTTCTCCCTCTCCCACTCCCCCTGCTTGTGTTCCCTCTCCCACTGTGTCTCTCTGTGTCAGATAAATAAATAAAAATCTTATTAAAAAAATATTTGAGAGTGCCTGGGTGGCTCAGATGGTTAAGCATCTGCCTTCGGCTCACTCAGGTCATGATCCCAGGGTCCTGGGATCGAGTCCTGCATCGGGCTCCCTGCTCCTTGGGAGCCTGCTTCTCCCTCTGCCCCTCTCTCTCTCTCTCTCTCTCATGAATAAATAAATAAAATCTTTAAAAAAATATTTGATATGGTTCCACCTCATTTTATTAAACTCTTCTCATGAGGTTGTTTCCAGTTTTTCCACTAATACAACTCTTGCTTTTTCTGTGCACAAAATGCAGATGTTTGTTTGGAGTCACAGAGTATGTATATTTAGAATTTTGCCAGTTTGCCCTCTGAAGTGCTTGTTCTTCCATAAGCAGAGTCTGAGAATGCCTTTTTCTCTACCAGTCAGCAATCTTGCTCTTATGAAGTCTTGCCACTCTGAAGGGAAAACATTCCCTTGATTTTCCAGTGCCTTCTGGCGTGGAAACAGGGGAGAGTAGGAGGTGTTCTCCGGTGAGGGCTGCAGCAAGTGGTCTGGTTGCAGAGGTTTCCCTTCTGTTGGGCTCCGCTGCCTCACGCACCGCCTACGGTTCCAGCAGGGACGTGGACACAGCTGCTGCTCGTTGCCTCGCTGCACAGCCTGACTTGTGCTCCTGGTGACCTCGCTGCTTTTCTCATCCTTTGTGCGCCATCCAGCTTTCCGGCTCGGCCACTTCTCGGCCTGTCTTCCTCCACTGTCTTCCCACCCTCTCCTTGTAGCCTTCTCTTGTGTGTTTTGGTGTGTAGTTTTATTTTCCTATGTTACGCAGTCTTCTTTCCATCTTTTTTCAGTTTCTGTAAATCCAAGGGCTATTGCCAACAAAGGGGTGTTGAAAAGTATCCTTTCCTGTCATTTCTCAGATTTAGAGTGGGAGCAGGAGACTGCATTTAGTTCCTGGGACCCTAGTCTCATTTTAAACCTAAGGGTAAGGGAAGGTTTCACTAACAGATTAAGTTGTCCATTGTCATATTTCAGTATCAGGACTTTTCAGAGTTCCAGCCTTTTTTGATGACTATCACAAATCTGGCCTGCTATTTGAGTTAAAAGCTCATTTAGTTTTCTTTAAAAGCCTTGATTTTAAAATCACAGTCAGTGATTGTGGTCTCTTTCGGTCTCTTGCTTTATTCTCCTCTATGATATATTAAAAATGGTTCCATTTTGCTCCTGTCAGTACTTAAAATAATAGGTGATGTTTATTGTTTACTCAGGTACCAGGGACTGTGTTACATGCTCTTGGATTATGCTTAATCTTTACCACATCCTTGCATCCATGAGGTTTAGGTACTTTTATTATCCCCACTTTACAGACGAGGAAATCTGAGTACTAAGAGGTTAAGAAATGCTTGTCCAAGGTGACAATTAATGCAGCCAGAACTCAAACCCAGGCAGTCTGACTCCAAAATCCTGGCCTTAAGGTCTATGCTAAATATTCCTATTAGTCCCCATCATCCCAGCTGAGTGGTTTCATTATATTGGCAATTTCATTATGATTGCTCTAGGCATTTTCCACACAGTCCTCTTAGGATCAAATAATAAGCCATATTTCTAAAATTCTTCATATTCTTTTCTCAAGGTTTATCTCTTGGGACCACTGTTCTTAGATTAAACTAGAGTTTATTCAGATGACCAGTTTAGTCAGTGCTTTTGTATATTACTAACAGCATCATCCCTTCAGTTTATTTTCATTATCTGTCAGCCTAATACAAATGCTGTATATTTATAATGTTTTTGTGCAGTTATAAAAATTTGTGGTGATCTTAAAGATTGAATAATTATGCCTCAGAATTTCTGTGTTCAGTTGTTACCTTTTTAGGGAGGACAACTTAGTTACTAAACACTGGGACTATCAGTGTTTCTTCCAGACGGTATGTTGCCTGATTCCAGTTTGTCTGGGCCTTTTGGGATCAGAAACAAATGGCAGGAGTGTTGAGAGTATCAGTAGTGCAAGTTTTCCTGGTGCAGAGCAAGGAGAATAGGATTTGGTCATGAAAAGAATTCTAGGTAACCTGATTTTCCAAATATTCAGATGTTTCTCATTCTTGACTGATTTTTATTTGATCCTAGGCAAAGTTAAAAGAAAAAAAAAAACAGTGTGTTTCAAATAGATAAGCTCGGTTAGATCATTATTTTACCAGATTTAATTTGTGTTTGGGAAGGAACTAATGGAAGGTGAGTAGAGGAAATGTGCTCACTCTGTGTGACCTTAGAGAAACTCACTGTTTTTATTAGTAATATCAAAATGTAGACTTTGTATCTGAGATTCTATGACTGACAGAATTACTGTACCCATATTAATTCATGTACAAAAAACTTTTCCCAGATTACCCAGATAATTGAAAAATGAAAGAGGATTAGCGGGATGATACGGAGGCAGGGAGGGACAGTGCTTGGAAGTCTATATCCTACTATAAAGAACAAGAAACTTTTACAGTGGAATGATGATAATATACTTCCTGTAGCTCTCTTTGTAAAATAATCATTAATTCAGAGGAAAAAAAACATTTTAAAGTGAGGTGAAAGATTACCAGTAGGAATGTAAATGACTGCATAATGGTTTGATTAGAGCATTAGTACTGGAGTCAGAAATTCCCAACTTGGGGCCAGACTGGCTTTAGGCAAACTATTTTTTTCGATTTCATTTTCCTCTTTCTGTAATTAGAAAGCCTGATACTCAGGTACATTTCTTATAGTGATTAAAACTTGCATTACACATAGTGCCTTGGCTAAGTAGGAACTTACCAAATGTCACATGAATAATTGAGATGATTTTAGATTCCTTACAAAAACATATCTCACTAAATTTCTAAAAAGAAAAATACCTTTGTGTTTGAATGGAAAGCAACTCAGTGGCTCTAGCAGATCTCTTAAAGAACAACAGCTATTAGTCCCTTCAGTGAGTGATAATATATAAAGTGTACCTTTGAGGAATGTGTACTCTCAGATCACAATTGGCCTACTTGTAATAGAGTTTGTGGTAAGTGAAATTCAAATATTCTTAACCAGCATAATTAAAGTCTTAATGGGCTCATGTCTACTCTAAAATTAAAGAAGTATCATTTTAGTGTCAATGTAATCAAATGTATCAATGTAACAATCAAAGCTTTTATTGAAATGACATCTGATGAGTACATTAACTATCATAACATTGATTCAGCTATGATATGAAAAAATTACTTTTAAGCATCAAGCATGCATTGACCTTTAAAATGCTTTATAATTTGATTAGGCCAATAAAATAAGCAGCCATATTTTGGCATACTCTGGTATTTTTCCACAGATAATTTGTATTCTCAATATTTTTTTGTTATATCTTGTTTTAGTGATCGTGGTGGAGAAGACCCAAACCAGAAAGTAATCCATGGGGTTATTAACTCCTTTGTTCATGTTGAACAGTATAAGAAAAAATTCCCCTTAAAGGTAAAAAGCCTCCTTTAAAAACATAATCAGACCTTTAATTTCTTAAACTGCTTGTTCTAATTTTTTAAATATGATTTATTTATTTTTTATTTTTTATTAAATATGATTTTAATTGGTTTATTTAGTTTTATCAGGAAATCTTTGAGTCTCCCTTTCTGACTGAAACAGGAGAGTATTACAAACAAGAAGCTTCAAATTTATTACAAGAATCAAACTGCTCACAGTATATGGAAAAGGTAAGAAAGAACATATTATGTTAAATGCATCATCTGTTATATATCAGGCATGGTTTTATTTAACATTTGTTTTCTTAGTTAATATATTTTTTTGGTGGAAAAAGGGTTTTTTTTGTTTGATCATCGCTCTGAGTTATAGTTAATATACAGTACCTATTGATAAATCATTGTTCTTGCTGTGGCATTCTCCATGAGGAAAAGTTCTATCCAGTTTTCATCATGGTTGATGCTTCTTGATAAATCCTGATTGCTTGATTTGCTTGTCTTTACAATTAATAGTCACATTCTTGGCAAAAGAATAAATTATATTTGTGTTTAGTAGATGTTTGAGGAATAGGATAAGCTTAGAAGCTAGGTGTTTGGGTTTTTATCTTTTCCTTCTTTACAACGGAAGGAAAAATATAATAATTCTAGATACTCAGATAGGTTACTCTTTTGATGTGTTCAGTTTTTGGAAGACTGAGAAAAACTCCACAAGAAATTTTAATTAATCCTTAAACCAACACGTATTGATTACTATTTTTAAAATCCCATGTGTACTTTTTTTTAGTAAAGGAATAGTCGTGTTACAAAGTCAGTCATCATATAAGATGTATTAAATTTTTAGCCGGGTTTTTTCATTTGCAGTACTGAATTCCAAGCGTTTTATTATCCGATGATTTTTGTTAGTTTGTTTAGCCAAGAAGATAATGTGTTGCAAGTGGAATAGCTGTAGAGTGGCCTCCGTAGATCACAGGTCAAGAAATACCAGTACATTGTTATAAATTCCACAAAGCCCAGGTCTGGAAGTCTGAGCTGTTCAATTCTCTTCCTGCTGTTGAAACTGATTAGCTCTAGGACCTCAACTAAGCCTTCTAGGACATTTTCTCCATCTATTAATTAAGTACAGGTTATACCAAGTCAGTGGCTCTTAGCTTTAAGCCCTTTATGCTTCTTAAACTCTCGTTAAAGGTTCTAGATCCAATCCTGAAAAGTGCACACGGATTATCAGTGATACATATACTCCTTGTTATATTTGGCTCTCAAAAAGAGGCCCTTGACAAAAATATTGTATGTTCCACTTATATAGAGCCATACACTGTCTAGAATATGGAATATCTAGAATAGGTAAATTCATAGAGACAGAAAGTAGATGAGAAGTTATTGGGAGGAGAGAATGAGGAATTATTTTGTAATGGTTACAAAGTTTTTGTTGGGTGTGATGAAAAAGTTTTAGAAATAGTTGCACAACATTGTGAGTGTAATTAATGCCACTGAATAGCACACTCAAAAATGGTTAAAATGGCATATTTTATGTTACATGTATTTTACCACAATTTTGAAAACACTAATGTAATACACCCCAAACCATTGAATTATAATTTTAAGTGGGTAAATCATACAATAAGTAAATTATATCTCAAACTGTTAAAATGAGGGCCATTGGAAATTACGTTTGGGAAGTAGCATTTATAAGATTAGCTCATTTAATTAACAGACTAATGTAGCCTTCCTGCTTCTCTTTCTCTATTTTACCTGTAGTTTTGGCCTTTTCTCCCCAGCTGTAAGTGGTTTTATAACTCTTTGAAGCCCCCCATTGAGACACTCCACTCTTGCCTTCCTTTCTTTTGATGTGCACCCCTCCCCTGCCATTATCATTAATTTTTTCCCTTTTCTCATCCTCCCTCACCTCCTGACTCTAATTCCTGTTGCATTTAGTTAATCGATAAACATTAAAGTTACAGTACGCTATAATGACTAACAGGCATAATCCTTTTAAGGGATAGTTCTTTTTTAAAAGAAAAACTTTTTGACAAAAATGACTTTCTTAGTTGGGTAAATAGGCACTGAACATCTTTTAGTCCAGGTACCTTCTTGCCTACTTTTGGTTTCTGTGACTTTTCCCTAGACTTCTGGCCCCACCAGGGAGCATAGTAGGAAAGATAGGACCTTGAGTCTCTCTCTTCAGTCTTTTTTTTTTTTAAAGATTTTATTTACTTATTTGAGAGAGAGAATGAGAGATAGCACGAGAGGGAAGAGGGTCAGAGGGAGAAGCAGACTCCCTGCTGAGCAGGGAGCCCGATGCGGGACTCGATCCCAGGACTCCAGGATCATGACTCGAGCCGAAGGCAGTCGCTTAACCAACTGAGCCACCCAGGCGCCCTCTCTCTTCAGTCTTTGCCTCATTTTCATCAAAAGGTATCTGAGAGGTATCCAGGAATGATGTGTTATTTCCCCTTTCAACATCACCTTCCTTCCCAGTATTACCTTCTTATGTCCAGGCAAAGTCAGCAGTACTCTCCAAAGGCTTCACTGTATATAGTTCTCTGGGACCAGTTAAGTTCAGAAACTCTAGGTACATAGCTTCATATAGTAGAATGTTTTCAAAGTCTAAACATTTGTGTGTGTATGTGCTATGCTAGCATGATTTTAATTGCGAATGTAGTTTTCTTTTGAGGTAGAAATTAGCCAGATTCTTTAGCTTTTATCTTTATTAGCTGGTTCTTGTTAATATTAATCAGTGTATTGTTGGTAGCCCAGTGTTTCTTATATAGGATAAGCTTTACTAAAGCTCTTGATTGACATAGTTAAGTATGACTAAATATAATTGACTTTGAAAAATTTTAATGAAATCTTTAATTTGGTAATTATCATGTATATACTGATTACATTTACTTTTTATAAGAAGAGGGACCAACATAAAATAATTAGGTTAATCTACTTGATCCAATTGATATAAACTATTTTTTAGTTTGATAGTTGAATATTCATAGAGTGACCACCTGTTCTGGTTTTTAATAATTTTTACTCACTTTTCCTGTTGCATGTAAGGTTTCCTATATAATAGGATGATCAGGGTCAGTAAATGAAGACAAAATGCAGACCACTTAACTTTAGTTCGTGTTCGTAAGATTTTGGTAAAATGTAGGGGATAGCTAATAGCCTAAATAAAAATTTGAAATGATTTATGGAATGTGGGTTTAAATTGGTTATGTAATCCTTATTTGTTACCTGGCCATCTTTAATTGAGCCATTAAAATTAGGCTACCTAAGTTACTTACTGATATTACAGGTTTTTCCTCATAGTAGGTCATGACTGTAAGAATATATTTCTAAAGGTTCTAGGTAGATTAAAAGATGAAGAAATTCGATGTCGAAAATACTTGCATCCAAGTTCATATACTAAAGTGATTCATGAATGTCAGCAACGAATGGTAGCAGACCACTTACAGTTCCTACATGCAGAATGTCATAATATCATCCGACAAGAGAAAAAAAATGGTAAGTGATATGAAACAGTGAATGTGAATAGAAATTAAATTATAAACCCACTTTCTACATCATCTCCAAGCCTCCTTAGATTTCAGACATTTTTAGTAATAATCTAAAATATTTGATATGCCTTTTTACCAATTCTTAATCTTTAAAAGGACTATTTTGGAAAGGTATGTTTTCAAAGTGTATTCCAAAGTCAAAAGAAAAACTAGGAAAAGGTGTTTGCACATTTTTACATATCACAAGGGCTAATTTCCTTAATACATTAAGAGTTTCTAATAAACAGCAGGAAAAAAAGCACAGATGAAAAGGAAATATAAATAGATTTTAAATATATGCAGATGCTCAATCTCATTTAAAATAGAAGAAAATACAAAATAAAGATATGAGATACTAGTAATAAGCAATAAAAAATGGAATTTTTTTAAGATTTTATTTATTTATTAGAGAGAGAGAGAGCACAAGCAGGGGGAGTGGCAGGCAGAGGGAGAAGCAGACTCCCCACTGAGCAAGGAGCCCAATGTGGGGCTCTACCTCAAGACCCTGGGATCATGACCTGAGCCGAAGGCAGGCGCTTAACCAGCTGAGCCACCCAGGTGTCCCAAAATGGAATTTTTTTAAAGGAGAAAATAGCACTAAAAATTTTCAAATAACAGGGAATAAACATAACAAGATACATGCCAGACCCACACAGGAAATGAAACATTGTTGAAAGCAACATTGATTTATAGATCCAGGAGAATCTACTCAAAACTGCAGTGGTTTTTTTGGTTTGTTTGTTTTAATTGTGAAAGTTAAACTCTTAGACTAAGAAAAGTCAAGACAGTCTTGAAGACCATCATGGGAAGACTTTGCAGGATAACATGACTTATGATAAAACCACAGTAATTAGGACAATGAGACATTGGTGCGAGGGTAAACAAATAGACCAATGGAATAAAATAGCCTAGAATAACCCTTGCATATATAGATACTTGATTTAAGACCAAGGTGACACAGTAGAGCAGTAGGTGAAAGATAGTCTTTTTAACACACGGTGCTGAGTCCATTGGATATTCACTTGGGAAAAAGTAACGTTTGATCTTTGTCTCAGATACCGTATACAGAATCAGTCAATACATTGTAGGCTTTTGACCTACATGTAAAACAGTAGCACTTCGAGAAGATAATACAGGAAAATAACTTAATGACCTTGAAGTAAGGAAAGATATTTTTAAATGAGACACAAAAAACACTAACCACAAAGGAAAGATTGATCAAGTGGACTGCATTTAAAAAAAACCTTTGGATCATTAAAAGACCATTAAGAGCATCAAAAGACAATCATAGGATAATATATTTGCAATCACTGAAGAAGGATTATGTCCAAAATATAAAACGGTCAAGAAATTTGAACAGGTACTGCAGAGTAGAGGATATCCAAGTGGCCAGTAAACACATACAGAGGCCCTCAATCTTATTAAAATAGAGGAATGCAAATTAAAATCCACACTAAGATATCAGAGAACTCACATTTTGATATAAAATTTAAAAGACCATTAGAGGGGAGGGGGTGGGGGATGGGTTAGCCCAGTGATGGGTATTAAGGAGGGCACGTACTGCGTGGAGCACTGGGTGTTAGACGAAAACAATGAATTGTGGATCACCACATTAAAAACTAATGATGTATTGTATGGTGATTAACATAACATAAAAAAAAATACTAGGGTAAAACTGGAGAGATTGTTGAAATTTAGATAGTGTTAAATAAAGCAAGAGATTCTGGGGGGAAAAAAATAAAAGACCAAATATAGTATGTGTTGGGAAGTGTGTAGAGGAGCAAGAATTTGTTATATACCCTGGGCTCGGAGTATAAATTGATGCAACTACTTTGAAAAACTGACATTGACTCTTAAGGCTGAATGTATGCATATCTTCTGATTCAGCCCTTCCAATCCCAGATATATAATCCCCTGCCCAAACTGCATGCAAATAAATACAAAAAGGTAAAACAATGTTCATAGCAGCATTACCTGTATTAGCTCCAAACCAGAAATAACTCAAATGTCCACTAACAGTAGAATAAAGTACAGTATACTCCTATAATGGAATATTATTAGAGAAGTGAAAATGAACAATTACAGCTACATACAAAATGTAGATGAGCCTTATAAACATGTTGAACGAAAGAAACCAAACATGAAGGAATTGTATGATTCCATTTTTATAAATAGTTCAAAACAGGCAAAACTAATCTGTGGGTTGGTAGTCATGATAGCAGTTACCTTTGCAGAAGAGCAAGAGGAATAGTGTTTGGGAGGAGGTATGAAGGGAACTTCTAGGTGTAGGGAATGTCTGTTTCTTACCCTGGGGGGTGATGTCGTGGGTGTGTATGTGTTCACTTGTGATAATTCATTGAGATATATACTTATGGTTTGTACACTTTTTGTATATGTGTTATATTTCAATAAAAAGTTTAAAATAGAAAGCACTGCACTGAGACATCATTTTCAACGGGAAAGATCAAAACGTTGATAACACGTTGTTGGCAAGGGAACTTACTGCTACTGGGAGCTGTGTTAGAAGGATCTGTCTATAAGATGAAGCTCTGGCACAATAGTCCCACTTCCAGGGATTTATACTACAGATATTCTTGCCTATATACAGGATTATTAATTGTAATACTGTAATATCAAGAGATTAGAAACAACCAAGTTTTCATCAATTTTTAAGAAATTATAATATAGCTATATAATGGGGGTGCTATGCAATTGTAAAATAACCTTTATGTAATGATATAAAAAGATCTCTAAGTTAAAATGTTGTGTTCTGCAGTTGCAAATAATACATAAAATATGCTACCCTATTTGTGTAAAAAGAGGCAGAGGGAAGACTATATGTATTTGTTTGAATGTGCATGAAACATCTTTGAACTGTTATTAACTACAATATTGCTTTCCTGTGGATGGTTGGGAGATGGGTGTAGGGGACTTTCTTTGCATTCTCTTATAATTCTGCATTTTGAACCATACATTACCAAATACATTAAAATATTTTTTGAACTCTTTGGAAATTTAATAATCAAAATTTTTTTTTCTCTTCAGACATGGCAAATATGTATGTCTTACTTCGTGCTGTGTCCACTGGTTTACCTCATATGATTCAGGAGCTGCAAAATCATATCCATGATGAGGGCCTTAGAGCAACCAGTAACCTTACTCAGGAAAATGTGAGTTATATAAGGAACTGGATATTTTTCTCTTAATCAGATTATCATGGAGTTTCTCTTACGACTTTACTGTTTTAAACAATGACAAAAAAGTCCATGATAACAAATGAAACATCTTTATTAAAATGTTTTAAACCTGTAGTTTGTTGGCCTCCTTCTGGAATTATCGTATTATTAGAAAATCATTGAATGAAATAGGCTTCTTCATAGTCATATTGATGTGTTCATTTAGCAGTTGTTAATTAACTTCTCACAGAAAAATATGTTTGCTGTTTCTAAATGATTGTGTTTCTGTGTAATTGGCATTAATAGTTGTAGTGGTAATGGTATTAATCAGTAGTAATATAGGCAAGTTACAATTTGCTTTCTTTGTATACGCTCTGAATTTGGTAGCCCAAGAAGCAAATTTAAATTAAGACAGTCTTCTCTAAATATATGCTTGCTACCCAAAATATCCAGCAGTGATCCTCATGTCTCTAATACTTATCTTTCTGAAGAGTTCCCTGCCAACCAAATGACTATTTACAGCAAGGTGTCTTTCCTCTCAAAGTGTGTTACTATCATCAAGTCTTGTTGGATCAACTTCTTTGTTATTACTTAGTGATGGCTTAACCAATAAGATAGACATCATATGAAAAGTTATTTCTCTTCCTGAAGTAGAGCTTTGGCTCTTCATTTGCAATAATTTTTATATGGACATCATCATTCAGAAGCATTTATTAAATGCTGATCACTTCAGTGATTTTATGTTCTGCCACAGTAATGCATTAAGTAAAACCATTAGTTTATATTATTAGTCTTTTAGATTCAGGGTGTTGAATGATATTGGGCAAAGAGCCATAGGGTGCGGTGTCAAGGACGGGGATGGAAGTGTAAGAGAATACATCTGTAGGAGACCCAAATCATTTTAGCTGACGTAGTTCCCTCCATTAAGTTCAAAAACTCACTTTTGCACTGCTGGATACTTCTTCCATCTCAGATGTGGGGGAATTGTACTGCTTAGTTCAGGGGTCTCTGTTTTCACAGACTCTGGCTTTTTAACTCTTCTTTTTCTCTCGGCCTTCAGTAGCTTTGAAGGCAGTTTTTGTTTATATAATCCTCTATGAAAGTGATAGGCCTGGTAGTTCAGAGGCTGTATCATGTTACCCTGAAGATACGGTATTCCAACACAGAGAGGAGTGTTTTTAGTGGGTTCTTCTGGCAGAAGAACTCCAGTCCTGCATTTCTCTAGGGTTGAATGACAAGCTAATTTCAATATTAAAGTTCTAGATTTTTAAGGTTATCTTAGCTAAAAACATTTTTGAGGGTTTGTGTGTGTGTGTGTGTGTGTGTGTGTGTGTGTGTGTGTGTGTGTAATATTAATTTGCTTGGGGAAAACTTTACACGTAATTAAACAATTTTTTAGTAAGCCTCATTTTATCCTTGAACTTCTTAAAATGTGATTTTTGTACTTTGTATTTCACATTTTTAGATGCCAACACTATTTGTGGAGTCAGTTTTGGAAGTACATGGTAAATTTGTTCAACTTATCAACACTGTTTTAAATGGTGATCAGCACTTTATGAGTGCATTGGATAAGGTAACTTTTTAATATGTATATATATAATTTATTTAATCACCATTCTTTAGGCAGTTTCAGAATTAGGGCTCCTAATTGATTGTGTATGTGATTTCTAATCTAGACAAAGTCAAAATAGAAATACAACTTTCAGATTAATAACTGAGTGGTTAAATTGAATGCTTGAATTATATGGGAATTGAATTTCCCATGAGTATGCTACATGGGGGAATTGCTAATAAACTAGTATCTTCTAAAAAAATGCATGTGTAATTTTAATATCCTTTAGTGCTGATTTTTCCTTTAAATATAATACTAAGGTACTATACTGAATAATATTTGAAATAAAAATAAGTATGTTTTACAAACTTTTGGATTTTGGTAACCTTTAAAGGAAATTTGTTTACATGGTTATTATAAGATTTTTAAAAATGTAGTCTTATTTTATCTGTGTCCAAAAACCAGTAATGAATTATAGAGAATATCTTTCAGTAGGAAGAGTATATATAATTTTTTATATAATTATCATGAGGGTTACAGTTAGAAATTTACCCTGTGTTAAATATGAAAGCAGGAACACACTACCATCAGAATGCCGTGTTTTGTGTGAGGCAGTAATTTTTGGATGTACAGATTATAGCATACTATATTGAACCAGCTGCACTTTTACCCCATTACTGGGGGCTAATTACTGGTCTGTTTTCTTATTTAGGCCCTTACATCAGTTGTAAATTACAGAGAACCCAAGTCTGTTTGCAAAGCACCTGAACTGGTAAGTTTTGATGGTTGCTTAAAAGTAATCTTACAGACAATCATTATTAGAGAAAGAAAACTGAGGAAAGCATCACATTAATTTGGTTTTATAGTATCTTTCAAAAAAATAGATGAAATTAAATTATTAAAAATAAAAATGATTATGTATATTGTTTATAATTTGCCATTTATTTAAGGAATGCAATCGGCCATGTATTAAAGCCTTTTTTTAAAGGAATAACTGACAGGGAAAATACTCCATTTCACAACGTTTGGCATTTAAAGCATGTGTGCTTTGGAATAATTTGCATTACTTCTCATAGGGATTTTGTTTTATCTGAAATCTAAAGGAAGTTGTATGGTAAATTTTTGTTAGCCTTTACAGGAAATTTGCTTACCAAGGTTGTTGTAAGATTTTTGAAAAGTACTTGTTTAATGTAAAAAATACCAGAGCCTCTCAAAACTCATCTAGATATTCTTTTGAAACTTTTATTACTTATATCAGTGCTTTATTGGGCTCTACATGTTGATTAGATCTTTTTTACTTATTTCTAGTTTTTTTTTTTAACCTTATGGAATATATTTTAAGTTCTTTGGGGCATATTCATAATTTTTAAGACATAAGCTTTAGGATGGCAAAGACCTTACCCATTGATCTTATTTTGTATTGTTGCCACTTTGCCTCCTTTGAGGCATGATATGTACAGAAGGGCCCTATCTAAGATTTACTGTCAATTTCTACTTGAGCTTGCTAAGTACTGTGACAACTTATTAAAGAAGTCAGCGAAGGGGATGACCGAGAATGAAGTAGAGGACAAACTCACGAGCTTCATTACCGTTTTCAAGTATATCGATGATAAGGATGTTTTTCAAAAGGTAAGTTGTTAATAGAGAAGCTTTATTTGTGTTTTAGTCAGCTTTGATTTGATTTGGAACTTCAAATCATCAGAAAGAAAGTAATCTTTAAAAATATTTTTTAATACAGTTCTACGCAAGAATGCTGGCAAAACGTTTAATTCATGGGTTATCTATGTCTATGGATTCTGAAGAAGCCATGATCAATAAATTAAAGGTAATTTAAGCCTTTGATCTGATAATGTCCTAGAAATTATTCCATGAGCACATAAAGATATTCATTGGAGCATTATATGTAGTAATGAAATATTTCATCAATAGGAGACTGGTTAAAAAATATAGAATGTATATTCATGTGGTGGGATATGCAAATACTGTATTGAAAAGACAGAATCTCTCTATATTGATTTAGAATCATCCACAAGATATAAACAGTGTTAACTTTACAAAAGATTTGTATTACTTAATGAATGAATACAGCTAAAGTATTCCTTTAAGTACAAGTTTTGGAGTGCAGTTGAATTTCAGGTCATTTTTATGTCATTTTAGCATACACACTGATGAGATAAATAGCTGATTCATATTTATCATGAGTTAGTAGTTGATAATTTCTACATAGTAGACATTGAATATACCATGTGGTCCTTTTTAAACATACCAGTCAATAGTTATCTTTTGATTTTTAAAAATAATGTAAACACAAAGCATTTTATATCCCAGGATTAGAGATCCAAATGTTCTGAACTGGTGATGACAGAGTTTTGAATAATTTCAAGGAAGTGGATTTCTTCATTATTCAGTAGATGGTATTAAAAATATGCCTAAGTACCCTCCTTTTTAAACTGACTACTGACTCAAATATGCCTAGTCATCTTTCATGTGTATTTTATAAGGTATCTTACATACAGTAATGGAGCATTTTGTAGTGTTGAAATAAGATACATGGATTTATAGAAAAGTTTTTATTTTAAAGGGAAATTTATTGTTTTATAAATCTGTATTTTCATTTATTCTGCATTGAAAAGGAAAAAATCTTTGAAAGGTTTTGCTTTGAATAGCTGCTTTGGATTATGAATAATAAAGGCCTTTGGAGTAAATATATAAGCAGGACCTTTGACCATAGACCTATCAGTAGAAACACATTCTTTTTTTTTTTTTTTTTTTTATTTTATTTATTTGACAGAGAGAGACACAGCTAGAGAAGGAACACAAGCAGGGGGAGTGGGAGAGGGAGAAACAGGCTTCCCGCGGAGCAGGGAGCCCGATGTGGGGCTCGATCCCAGAACCCTGGGATCATGACCCGAGCCAAAGGCAGACGCTTAACGACTGAGCCACCCAGGCGCCCCAGTAGAAACACATTCTTAATAATCAGTATGGTTTTTTATTTTTCTTTTTAAATCTTATATTTTTAAAAACTTTTTCTTTTACAGCAAGCCTGTGGTTATGAGTTTACCAGCAAGCTACATCGGATGTATACAGATATGAGCGTCAGTGCCGATCTCAACAATAAATTTAACAATTTTATCAAAAATCAAGACACAGTAATAGATTTGGGAATTAGTTTCCAAATATATGTTCTGCAGGTATGAGTATGTGTTCCATTGTGGGCATTTTTTTACCACTTCAAATATTCTGATGCAAAGGATTAATGTATGGATGCCTGATTACATTTCTTTCAATCAGTGGATGGTAGGTAGCTTCTAAAGTTAACGTGTTATATTGAATTGGAATGAAATGTGTCATGATAGAAGTGTTGATGGGTTTTATCAACATTTTGAGGAAGGTAAAACAAAAAGGCGCTTTAGTCACTTAAATCATTTTACAAATTTTTATTTTTAAGTTAGGTATTTATTTGTTTAACTTCTTTCCTTCTAGGCTGGTGCATGGCCTCTTACTCAGGCTCCTTCATCTACATTTGCAATTCCCCAGGAATTGGAAAAAAGTGTACAGATGGTAAGTTTGCAGGAAATATGTTATAAGACCAAAGAAACTTTAATAATTGTCTTCATGTTATATTACTTTAAATATTTTTTCAAAGTCTTAAGGCCTCATATGATATAAAAGTATATGCACAAATGATAGTTTGTCTGCCTGTAGGAAGTGTTAAGTTAGTGTAGTTCCTAATATTAAAACTAAAATGCTAAGGGTGTGTCATATGGTTCTTTATCAAAGTGTATCTCTTATTTTTATTAAATCAGTTATCTGCTCTTAAGCAGTTTTAAATTACAGAAATTTTGGTATTAGAAGAAAATTTAGAACCCAGTACTTAAAATAGTCATTTTCTAACTTTTCATTTGAATTTGGAGCCAATTTTGTGCCCCCACATTTATCCCCTATAATAGTTATTTTTATTTCTGGGCTGTAATTTAGGTAAGTATTGGAATGTGAAATAATCTAGAAAAAATGCTTTAAAGTGTGACTGAATATAAACCTTACAACGCTTACCAAAAAGCTTTTAAAGAGACTATATCTTTACAGCTTTATTGGGATATAATTAATATACCATATGTCCTAGCCTGTTCAGGTTCCTATAATAAAATACCACAGACTGGGTAGCTTATAAACAACAGAAGTATATTGCTCACAGTTCTGGAGGCTGGACACCTGAGATCAGGGTGCCAGCGTGGTCACTTGAGGGCCCTCTCAAGGTCACAGACTTCTTGTGTCCTCACATGGTAGAACGGGCTGTGGGGTCTCTTTTATAGTAAGCACTAATCCCATTCATGAGGGCTCCATCCTCATGATTTGAGCACCTCCCAAAGGCCTCACCTCCTAATACTATCATACTGGGCATTAGGATTTAGTATATGAATTTGAGAGGGACACAAATGTTCAAACCATAGCACTATATAATTCATTCATTCAAAGTATATAATTTCAGTGATTTTTAGTATATTCACAGTTGTGCAACCACCACACAATTTCAGAACATTCTTATTGCCCCAGAACTCTCTCTCTAAAACCTCCTACCTATTAATAGTCATTCCCCATTTTCCCCCAACTCCCTTCCCCACTCCTCCCAGCCCTAGGCGATCTACTTTCTTTCTCTATAGATTTGCCTCTTCTGGACATCTCAAAGTCTTACCATTTGTGACTAACTTCATTCACTCAGCATAATGTCAGGGCTTATCCCATGTTGTAGCATGTATCAATAGTTAATTCCTTTTTATTGCCAAATAATATTCTATTGTATGGATATACCAAATTTTATTTGTCCATTCATCAGTTGATGGACATTTGGGTTGTGTCCACCTTTTTGGTATATGAAAATGCTACTGTGAACATTCATGTACAAGTTTTTGAGTGGACATGTTTTCATTTCTCTTGAAACTAACCCTTTTTAATTTCCTAACTCATCAAAAGAGGTTTCTTATCTCTTGACTGGATGTAAGTTTGGGTAGCATTTTTTTCTAGAGAAATCTTCATTATTGCATTTGGGCAGTAACTTGAGGTTGAAAATGGTATTTCATTACACTATTCCCTACAGATGTTTGCAATGGGTAATTTGAGTCATTTTTTTAAAGTAAATGTGTCTTTTGTTTCTTTCAAAAAAAGGATTATAAAGACAATAACACAGTGTAGGCTCTGGAATCATAATTTCTGGTTTCATATGCCCTGCCATTTACTATGCTCTGTGACTTTGGGCAAATAACTTTCTGATATTTCTGATGTTAGGACTACTCAGAGTGTTGATATGAAGATAAAATGAAATAATGTAAAGCGCTTAGCCTGGTGTATAGTAAGTACTCAATAAATGGTAGCTGATATAGAAGAAGTAATAGTTATAGTAGTAGTGATAATAGCAGAGTATAAACAACCAGGTAGATTTCAAGATACCAAACATAAGGTAGACTTTCAGACTAGGAGTCTAACTTAAGAACTTCTTGAGTCTTCTTTAGAAAGGCATGATAGCACAACCATCTTAAAAACTGTATGAAGAAAAGCATTCATTTGGGTGGGCAGGTTATTATGGATTTTGTAAAAAGGATAGATGCAAGCTAGGGGCAGGAGATGGGGTAGCCAGGTAAGACATTTTGATGTACTCATCTTTAACAGTACTAAAACTTACTTCTTAAAAGAACCTGAGTTTTTGAATTGCAATTAAGGCAGAGAATAGGTGCTGCCAGAAATAGTTTCCTTCTAATTTTATGTTGTGGTTCTCTCTCCCCTTGAGTTAATCATTTTCCATTAACAGTTTTTTAACCCCTTCAACTTTTATTAATGTATAACCTTCATCAGGTTTCAGTTTCTTCATTTGCAAACAGGAAGTGGGTTCTTTTCTGACTATAAAATTATGATTCCAAGAATATTGTCCTCTCCATTTGGATTTTTTCTAATTACCAGTAGAGGGAGTTTGTCCTTCTATTTTTTTCCTAGTAAATCCAAGTGTTCAGTTACATAGGACTCAAAATTCATCTGTGTACTTAACACTGTACATTTTCACATATAAATTAATTCATCTTGCCTTAGTGATCATTTATGTTTTATATCTTAATCTTAAATATAGCAGTTTATCAAAAATGACTTTCATTTTACACATATGAATCTTAAAACTATGGAAATGAAGCTTTAATTAAAAGTAGTTTATTTTGCATATTAGACCAATAATCTTCATTGTTGTATTTCTTTTGTACCTGGTCTACAAATCTGAATAATACCGAAGAAATATAAAGTAGTGTGTATTAATGCAGCTCTTTATTAGAAGTAAATATGAATTGTTTATTTTTAAGGCCCTTTGAGTTCTAATTAATACTCTCAAATGGTATTTAAAGAATGGTGTCCTAGCCTGACTATTATTTATTTTAAAATGAGAAGTTTAGGCAAGATATATTTTTTACTAATAAACTTTGGTAGCATAATTGTTTAATGATATAATGAAGCAAGGTTTTATAACTTTTGTCTTTGAATACCAGATGAATTTATAATGTTTCCATTTGGTACTCAATCTTTTTGTTCTTGACTAGTTATTTATGAAAATCTTTAATCAGATTTTAAATTTAAGGGTAAAGGAATGTTTTCTGTTGGCATATCTGTTATCATTATCAATAAAACTTTATTGATAGTACTAGTTGTTAGGAGTAGAAAGAGGCAAAACATTGCCTTCAGAGCTTGGAATATACATCCCGATGCAGGGCTCGATCCCTGAAATATACATCCTTGCACTTAAATAATTTAGAACATTTTAAAGTTTGGTTTTCTCAATTTCAGAATGTTTTATTTTGCTTTTGTCCACAAAGTCATTATAAATGTTTCATAATTAAATTAGGAGTTATATAATAGTAATTGAATTTTATTGACACCTTTGAAGGTTATTAATTAGTCAAAGCCTACTTCTGGGATCCTTTCATGACATTATTTTGACTTTCATTTGTCTAGATTAGATCCAGGCAGAAAATCCTAAGTATTTCAATTGTTAGTTATTTCCTATCTATCATGCCAGGGACTTGGTGGATTTGCACCATTGGAGGGAAGGCATGCTCAGCAAGTTAGCTTACCAGGACTAAGCAAACTTGGAATAGACTGCTGAAAAAATGCACTAATTTTCTTGGCTGGCAGGTCAAACATTGCTGATTGCTTTATTGAAACTTTGTTTTGGGAGTACAGAAGGTTAAGTTTGATACAATTAAAAGCTTTAGGTGTAAATATTACATGTGGCACATTATGCTGAAAGTATGTCCACAATTCTGAATTGTGATTTGATGTGTTTGCTTATTTTTCAGTTTAATAATGAAATTGAGTGTTTCGGGTTTTGTTTTGTTTTTTTTACATTTCAGTATCATTTTCTCACTATATATTTATGTTCTGACTCTTTAAAAGATATTTTTTGGATTGATGTCCTTCAATTACACATTCAATTCAGGGAAAGAGTTTTTTAAATTTCAAAGCAACGTTAATAGAATGTTAAATTGTTTACAGTAATATCAACAAAAGATACAAAGATGAGTACTTTGAAGTTTTGTTTGTATTAGTGTTTGGCTGGATGTGGAAGTTAAATTGTAGATACCACCTTATAGGTAACCACAGAAATATTAACCTGTCACTTCAGCAAGGGCATATGTTGGCAAATAGGAAAATAGAAATGAAGGTATGATTTGCATTTTCATATTGAAATTTATATGATGGTGTTTTTGGTCAGTAATTAGTATTTATAAAGTCCAAATTGCTATCATTCAAAACTGATAATCATTGACTATCTCATTTCTGAATTTATACAAAAAGTCAAATGTGGAGGGCTGTGGTTTAGTGGAGAGAACCCTGGACAAAGTTGTAAGTGAAAAGAGCTGCACTAATATTTGTATGATCTTGGTCAGGGACTTGCATGGATATGCTTTCTCATCTATAAAATGAGTAAGTGTACCAGATGGGTTATAATGTCTTCTCTAACATCAATTTCTTTTGTGTAGTAATAGCTAAGTAAGTTATGTTATAGTAGCTGAAAATACTTTTTTTTCTTTTTTACAGTTTGAATTATTTTACAGCCAGCATTTCAGTGGAAGGAAACTGACATGGTTACATTATCTCTGTACAGGTAACATGCATTTAATTATATCTAGTGTAGTAAAATTTACCTGATAAAAGTATCTTAATAATTTAGGAAAAGATTTCTTATAGCCTAATGATAGTTTTTTTCCCTAATGATGGCTTTTAACCTCTTTTCCTCTGTCTACCCTGCTGGTTATCATTAAAGCAACTATTAATGAAGTTTAAGTGCAGCACTTTTTTTTTAAGATTTTTATTTATTTATTTGAGAAAGAGCACACGCAGGGGGAGGGGCAGAAGGAGAGGGAGAAGCAGACTCCCCACAGAGCAGGAAGCCTGACACAGGGCTCAATCCCAGGACCCTGGGATCATGACCCAAGCTGAAGGCAGACGCTTAACCAACTGAGCCACGGGGCAGCACTTTTTTAATAGTGCTTTATAAATTTATGCTGCTTATATTATTATTGCTTATTAAGAAAGTTTCTGAATTTTATAATAGTTTATTACATTTCTGTAACACACCAGTTTATCTAGACATTAGAAATTTTATCTAGAAACCAAGACTTGACAGGTCAGATACACCTAAAAAACTGTTTTCTCTAAATATGTCAGAAATCCTCAGAAATTTCTTTAACCATTATAGCATCATAAGGATATTTAACCATTTGATTTTTATTTGTGGTACTGTAGTGAACTGCAGTAATAAATGCTTTTTGCAAAATGTCGCAATTAATTTCCAGTAGTTTCAGTTTTAGAAAAGTTTAGTCAGAATCCAGTCCTTTGCTTCTTTTTGGAACAGTGGGGTCCATTTATTTGATAGTAGGATTAATACCTGAATGATTGTAGACTGTGCAGTTGCTCTGAGTTGCCTGAAGATGTTAGCCAAAGCAAACACTCAAATTCTCTCTACTTTCATTAAAGCTATGCTTTGAAAGTACATTGAATCAACTTTCCTTTTGTATAAGGAAAGGGTATATATCTCCTAGGAATGGCATGAGAATATTTGATCAGTCAGGTGCCGTAACCTTTGTTAGGAAATTCTTTCACTCACATAAGAGAAATTTCATTAAGAGAAACTTCATCTAAATAATTTCTTTTAAGTGCCATTTATTTGACCACTTTATATTTGTAATATAATGTCTCATTATGTTAGTACATATTAGTACATAATTGGTACATGTAATATATACTTATACAAGTTTATCTTTATTAAATTGGGCATTTACATTTTTTTCAGCAGTTTGTGAAATAAAGAGATACGATATTCTTAATAAGTGGTCAGTTTGTACTTGGCCTTTAGTTTTACATCTGTTATGAATTTTTTCTATTTTCATTTAGTAAATATAATTGGTTTTAAGGGGAAAAAATTGCTCAACCAGTGTTTTATTTTTATTTATTTATTTATTTTTAAAGATTTATTTATTAGAGCGAGAGAGAGTGCACAAGTGGGAGGGGCAGAGGGAGAGAGAATCTCAAGCAGACTCCCCGCGAGCAGGGAGCCCGACACAGGGCTCGATCTCACAACCCTGAGGTCATGATCTGATCCGAAACCAAGAGTTGGACACTTAACTGACTGCACCACCCAAGTGCCCCACTCAACCAGTGTTCTAGATAACTAAAAGAATTTCTAATATAACTTAATGTACTTGAATTTAATTTAGTTTTACTTCCCCTGAATGTCTTGTGGAGTTTACTCTCTTTGTTTTTCTAATTACCTCAGCAATAATCAGCCTGTCTCCTAAAGTATTTTAATGAGGGGCTCACTTTTTTGGTGTTCAGCAACTAATTGTATATAGAAATAAAGAAAAAACTATATACATAGTTTTTGCCATTGGAATTTGACCTGAAAAGTGTTATCAGTAACACCTTAAATAGGAAGGAGATCAACATTCTTTTCCTGTTTTTGAACTGTACTAAATTCCCAAGCTGGTCCATAATAACCAGATTTTTGGAGCTCATTTGTTCTTTTTTTTTGGTCTGTCTGTAGTGTTGTGTACATGTGTCTTAATTAAAGCCAAAGAGCTTATTCCTTTGGAAAAGAGATGTTAGCCTTGTAAATTCATTTCTTGTTTTGAATCACTGAAAGCACTGAAAATACCTGAGATCTATCAGTGAAGCCATTGGCTAAGGTTTTATTTTGGTTTTGTTTCTCATTAACAAAAAGTTCTCAAACACCATCCACCTTTAAGATGCTTGTTCTGGTGTCGCCACATTTGTCATGAGGCTCCAGGGCTCCTTTAAAACATTGGCTCTGATTCTGGACTGATCACTCAGAGTTCTGTTTCTCGAGAACCCCTATCGTTCATATTTACACATGTAATCAGAATTACTCTTTCCTAGTCCATTTCCACATTTCCAGGTATTTTTTGTATTGTAATCCAAGGGTCTTTACAAATGGTTGGAGATGGGGTATCAAGTGGTATTTGGAGGAAGTTAGAATCAGAACATGTAGGGTTATTAGCCTATTACGTCTGTAACCTTGAGCAAATTACTTAACTTCTCTGAGCCCATTTTTTCATCTTTATCTTTGTAAAATTCATTTATCAATTCAGAGAATCATCTTCTTTGTTCCTAGTACTGCTGTATGTTAAGTACAGATAAAATACAGAGGCCCAGCCCTCAAAAAGCTCACATCTAATGGGAGGACAGACAAGTAGATAATTATGATAAATGTTTTGACTGTTGTAATAGAGAGGCAAGCCCAGGGTATTAGTTTCCCTTGGATTGGTGGTAGCAGACAGCCACTGGTAAAGGAAAGCTTCTGAGTAAATAACATCTAAACTTGGTTTTCAAGTGTGAATAGGACTTAGCCAAGATAGGCAAAGAAGGATGTTGAGAGCATATTACCAACAGAGGTAAGAATTTTAAGAAGTAAGCAACTATGCTAGGAGATGTGACAGAGCTACTGAATGAGAGAACGATGAAAATTCCATTGGATTTATGACTAGGATATTGGATAGAATTATTCTGAGAGAAAAACTGGATGAAGAAATAAATACGGAACCCAGAAATTTACACTGTCTGGATATAAATAAGTTTTATTTACGGCACATCAAGATTTTGTAGGAATCCTGTCAGCTGCTGAGAGAGAAGTTGAGAAATGAATTCAAGGAAGGTAACACTTCCTTGGTTAATACATAAATATGTAGATAATATATAAATAATACATATAATTAGATCGCACTAGCAATTAGTGAACTGTGTCCTATAAGTGTTATTTGCCAAAATGAAAGTCACACCATATTGTTGCGCATACCTTAAAAGGTTCTATTCTATCCTTGACTGAATTCTTTTCATTATTGATTTCAAGTACTTTAACAGCTAAAATTGTGAGGGCTTTTTACATTATCCAATGTCCAGTCCATATGTAGATTTCCCTGACTGTCCCCAGAGAGACTTTATTGCCTGTTTTTAATGTAATCAGAGGTCACTAATTGCGCTTGGTTATAGTGTTTTCCCGCTTCTTTTCCCTACCACTTCTTTTCTAACCCCTTTTAGCCCTCTTGACATACTTTTTTAAAAAGACCAGACAGTGTTTGGATTTGTCACATTATTTACTTGTGATGTATTTTATTTGTTTTCTATTGCGTGTACTTCTCTAAATTAGTATTTCTAAATTAGGTCCAAAAGTTTGATTCTATTCAAATTACATATTGTCAGCAAGAATACTTTTTATTTATTTATTTTTTTTAATTTTTTTTTTAAAGATTTTATTTATTTGAGAGAGAGAGAATGAGAGAGAGAGAGCACGAGAGGGAAGAGGGTCAGAGGGAGAAGCAGACTCCCTGCCGAGCAGGGAGCCCGATGTGGGACTTGATCCCGGGACTCCAGGACCATGACCCGAGTCGAAGGCAGTCGCTTAACCATCTGAGCCACCCAGGCGCCCAGCAAGAATACTTTTTAAATGGCAGTCCTGTATACTTCGTAATGCATTACATCTGAAGGCATGTAATGTCAGATTGTCCACTATTAGAGAACTAAAGTTGGTAAGGTGGTGACCACCAGATCTCTTTATTGTAAAAATACTCTTTTCCCCTTTTCAATGAACAGTTGATCCAAGGGGTGATACCGAGGTCCCATATGAATACCCTTTTTCAGGAACAACCTTACCTAATGGCTTTGGCACCCACTGATGATCATGGCCTGAATCAGTTATTCCATTACTGGCTGCAAATTGGTGATACTATATCATTCATTTGGCATTTAGTAACTGACATTCTTCTGTAAAGAAAGGCTTTCCCTTAGAGACTAAGGAGCTGTCCGTAATAGGAGAGTAATTTGGGTGAAACTATTGTGAGTTCTGCCTACTCATTACTTCCTGTAGTTGTAAATATCTCTTCAGTTATGTTTGGTGTATTTTTTGAAGTAAGTGTGTATCAGAATGCTTTATTCTAGTTTGGAGTTTCATCGAGTTTGCCAACCTATTCTGCAGGTTAAATGACCTGTTTTGTCATTTTCCTTTTCTGTTTACATGGCAGTAATTAAGTGAATCATCAAATTAGAGATGTCTTTCCCTGCCCCACATGTGCCCTCTACCCTTATCCCAGTCTGTTCAACTGTGAGCTAATAAAATGGTGCTGAAAGGGGGGCAAGAGGCCCAGATACCCCTAATGCCAACAATTAAAAAATAGGAGGGGCGGGGAAAGGGCCTTAATATGGTACTAACTAGTTTTCCTGGTGTTGCAGAATGAACTTAATAACTAAATGACACTTTGACCCTTTACTGGCATTGTCTCCTAATGCTTCTTGGTTCTGGTGGTGATGAAAGACTATTTGGTGTGGCAAGAAGCTCATTCTGGGTCCCAACCCATGACAGTATATTATAGTACTGGATCTGATATATACATCACTGGATGTGTGGCCTGATGGTCCTACTTCATCATCTACTTGCTTGACGCATTGTTTCATACTTGTTTCTGACATATGATTAAATAGTCCTTGCACAAATGATACAATTTATGTGATATTTTGCTTTTCACCACATTTCCCAAACTTAAATGTTGAGATGAGAGTCCTTAAAGTATTCTTTGTACTGTTGGCAGGATACTCCTGATGTTAACTTTTTACTTAAACTCTTTGTGCGAATTGATTATTCTAATTAATATATTAAACCTTCTTTCATGAAGATTCAGAGACAAATTTTTTCTTAAGGTGTTTCCAAATAATTATCTGAGTAACTTGTTTCTGAAATAGACTGAGGCAGAATGAAAATTAGAATAGGCATCTCTGTGATAATAAGTTAGTTGGAGAATTGACTTCATATCCTTTAAAATTTTTTAATTATATATGTATAAATCAAAGCACAAAATCTTCATCAGAGTTACTAATTACCACTAATAGGGAGAAAGAATGTAGCCTCTAGGGTAAGTTCATGTGAAATACAGCTTCCTTGAGTTAAAATGTAGAGCTCTAAAACCAGATCTTGTAGTGGTTTATTTTATAATCTGTTAACAATCAAATAATTCAGGGTGTGTGTGTATGAGAGACACAGATAAAGAAATACCGTCACTAAACCACAGCTTTATGCTTTAGGAAACAGTTTGTTGACTTGCATTAGCTTTTTATTTTACATGTTATGTAGTGCATACATGTTTGTCATACTGTTTGTTACAAACTTTTCAGTGTGCTCTCTCCTTGGGATGTTGCAGAACCATAGTGTGCCTAAACCTGCTGTATCATTTATAGCTTTCAGGGTAGTGTAGAATCTATAACTTTTTTATTCTATCAATTATTTCAGCAAAATAATGAATCTGTCTTTTTTGTCTCTCCTTCCATTTGTTTGCCCCTAGGAAGTTACTTGGAAGAATAATGTTTGTATATGAGACAAAATAGCATTGTTAAATTTTAGCAGAAACTGTGGGTTAGACAGAGCCATTGGAGAAGCATCGCCTGTATACTTGTAGACCTCCCTGAGTGCTTGAACGTTGCCAGATGGAGACAGCACATGAGGCGGTTATTTGTCACAAGCTGTCATTCTCTCCCTTTGTCTGTCTATCTGTCCATTTCTCCTCCTACCCTCACCTCCTCATAACTGCTTTTTCTTGCCCAAGTCATAGCTTTTCTAGTAACATTTAAAGACATTGTTACTTACTGGTAGAGGTATGATCATTTAATTGTGATTTATACTGCATACTCAAAACTAATAGCTCTCCCTCCAGCCCCCCAAACAAACAAACTGATTACACTGCTAGCAAGAATGGCTTCATAGCAATTTAATAAATCCTTGGTTCATTCTCCCAGGAGAAAGTAGCTGAAATAAACAATTATTACTCAAGTAATTTTGAAATGTTTCTTTGAATGATCAGTTTATTATCAACAATTTTGTTTTAATTGTAGGTGAAGTTAAAATGAACTATTTGGGCAAACCATATGTAGCCATGGTTACCACATACCAAATGGCAGTTCTTCTCGCCTTTAACAACAGTGAAACCGTCAGCTATAAAGAGCTTCAGGACAGCACTCAGATGAATGAAAAGGAACTGACAAAAACAATCAAATCATTACTTGATGTGAAAATGATTAACCATGATTCAGAAAAGGTATGGGGTAGTATTTCAAGGAATTTAAGCATTATAAATATATCTTTTTCATAAGATGTTTGCAGTTTTTTAAAGTAAGATAGTAATTGGTAATGTCCTTTGTATTTTGGAAAGCACTTGAGTCAGCTAACAATGCTACAGGCTCCTTACAACTATGAGCTTCTGGAATCACAGAGAAGTTGGTGCCTATGTGCCCTTTATAGTTTGATTTCATTTGTCCCATACTGTGACAGTGTACTGAAAATTGTGAAAGAATTGCTATCAGGTGGATTCTGGTTATTTGAGGTTAAGAACTGTAGCGTATTTTTTTTTTCATGTGTTTAATTGATATTTATTTAATTACATGGTTCTGTAATAGGAAATGACCACCTATTGATATTATTTGTATGCATATTTGGCTTGTGTGACCATCCTAAATGCTCTCAGTCTCCTGGCCCTTCATTCCAGGACTCAACTAATAACCACCATATGGTTGTACTATCTGTCACAAGAATAGCAAGCCAGTAATATACTTCTTTTCTTTTTAGATTTTTTTCCTAGTAACAAATTTTTGTTATTATTACAGTATATCTTGGATATTTAAGTGGTTCAAAAGCAATAGATGTGAGTTAAATCTAATTCAGATTGTGCCTATAAGAAAAAATTCTTGTAAATGAGGTATAATTTTTATTTTGGTGAAGTTAATAACCTATTTCTGTCATCAATTCATTTAATTGATGTTTGAGAGGCGGGAGGGGCAGAGGGAGAAGAGAATCCTAAGCAGACTCCCGACTGAGTGCAAAGCCCAACATGGGGCTCAATCTCATGACTCTGAGATCATGACCTAAGCTGAAACCAAGAGTCAGATGCTTAATTGTGCCATCCAGGCACCCCTAATTGATGATATTTTGTAGCTTGTAATTGAATAGCTTTAAATGGCATATATTCTGAAATTCAAATGAAGCTTTTCTTAATACTGAGAAATAATTGATTTTTCTGACTTCAGCATCCTAACAAAATACTAAATTCTTAAGATTTTAATTAAGTCAATTAATTAATTGTAAGTTAAGCATGAATTTTTTAAAACCTAAAGTTTAAGTTTAAATTTGCAAGCTAAATTTTAAGGGCTTAAGAAGTTGTATAGTTTTCTAAAATGTATTACTTTTGCTGCCCAGGAATGTACAAAATATAGTTTGCTTGTTTGCACGTTAAATTTTAATTATGAATCTGACATTCCTTAGCAGAACTTCTTAGCTTAGTATTGAGAATGAGTTCATTTGCCAAGTGCTTTTTGATCCTGCTGATGAGAAAACTCACTGTATGATCAGAGTGGCTTTTTTAAGCCTGATAGAGAAGTTATGAATATAAAAATTGGCTTAACTTAACACTTGAGAAAAGGCCACTTGCTTCAGGTAGACTGAATAAAACATGAGTTCAAGGGTAAACTTCATCAGAACCACACCAGGGTCATGTGTGCGCTGGAAACTACTTGCTTCTGTCATCCAGTTATTTATAATCTGTATTTTGTTACTGCAACACTGTTTTTTAAACAATTTTTTAAAGATTTTATTTATTTATTTGACATAGAGAGACAGTGAGAGAGAGAACACAAGTAGGGGGAGTGGGAGAGAGGGAGAAGCAGGCTTCCCGCTGAGCAGGGAGCCCGATGCAGGGCTCCATCCCAGGACCCTGGGATCATGACCTGAGCCGAAGGCAGACGCTTAACAACTGAGCCACCCAGGCGTTCCATGTTACTGCAACACTTTAAAAGACATTTGGTTGCTCACTTTTTCAAAATGGGGTGATAGAAAAACACTGAGCCTAGTAGTTCATAAGAATTAAAATGTTAAATTCTGTTTAAGCCAATGAGCTTTTGACTGTTTATCCAGTGGTTAATAATAGTTGGGCCACGAGATAGCTTATTTCTAAATCTAAACAGATTAAAATTCAAGTGTAAAATTAGAATTGTTTTTTGCTTCTTTCTTTCTTTGACAGAAGACAGGTACTTTTCTCTTAAATAATCTTTATAATGTAAAATGATGAGAATTTAAGTCTTCTTTGGTCATTTAATTTTATGGCATATTATTTGCACAACTCCAATGATTTTACTTTTTATAAGTATAAATGAATTATTTTTAATTGTAGGAAGACATTGATGCAGAATCTTCATTTTCATTAAATATGAACTTTAGCAGTAAAAGAACAAAATTTAAAATTACTACATCAATGCAGAAAGACACACCACAGGTAAGTGATTTTTAATGTCATTTCTTTTGGAAATATTTAAGCATTGAACTTGACACGTGGTAACTGAGATAATGCAAAACTTTGCACATCAAAATTGATAATGTGGTACATTTTTTGCTGGTTTATTCTCTGAATTTATGAATCTTGCAAACAAAACCGCTGCCAGTATTTTAGATTGTAAAAATAGTAATATAATGGGTATCTAAGGAAAAAGGTGTTGCAGTATAGTCATACTTACTTTTAGACTATATTAAAATGTGGAGCATTGCTTGCATTCTTCACAAAAATTCCTACCTTGAATAGTAATATAATCTCTCACATTTTTCATTTGTAAAATAAGGGAAAGCTTTATAACATTTTATTCAAAGAAAAGTTGTTAGAAATATTTCTCAAAATTTCATGTGCAAATGAACCACTTGGGATCTTGTTGATACTCACAGTGTAATCTAATAGGTCTGGAGTGAGGTTCAGACTACCAGATGAGCTGGTTTGCAAGGTGAACATCTACTGTTGATTCTTTTAACTCACTAATGCTTATTGCTTTGTTATGGGATAGCCTGGTAATGTCTCTTAAATTTCTTGATTACCTTATATGTGCCACCCTATCCTTGGCATGGGGCAGGATGCAAAGTTATATAAAATGTTAGGCCCTTTATGATGTAATATATGGTGATTAACATAACAATAAAAAATTAAAAAAAAATGTTAGGCCCTCTCCAGGAATTACTCCCCCATGGGGAGACTGATGGGTTAGTTAATTGCTAATTAAATTTAAACCCTAAAATGTTTGCGATCCCATTTTTCTCTGGAGTAATGAATAATAATTTGTAATATTTGGATTATAGTTTATCTTTTATTTTTTGAAAGATATTTATTTATTTGAGGGGAAGAGGGGCAGAGGGAGAGCGAGAGAGAATCTCAAGTAGAAGTCTTGAAAATCACTGCTCTGTGTCATTTAAGTTCTACTTTATTGCCTGTTTACATTAAATACATTTTACAATAGTGTTAATTTTTTTAATAACCTTCCAACTTTAACCCAAGAAATTATAAATAATTGACTGTAGGTATTCGTTTGGTAATGGTTATGTGATACTGGGCACATGATAACTGTGTAATTTGATGCTCGGTATTGATTGGAAATTTATGTAAACTCACTGATAAAATCAATTATGAAAGGTTCAGTGACTTAATGTCTCATTTAATTTTTTTCCTCCCCCTGTGAAACAGGAAATGGAGCAGACGAGAAGTGCTGTAGATGAGGACCGGAAAATGTATCTCCAGGCTGCTATAGTTCGTATCATGAAAGCACGAAAAGTACTTCGTCATAATGCCCTTATTCAAGAGGTAAAAGGAGGAGAAGCCCTCAAGGTTTTTTGTGGTAACGGGTATTATCAATGAATGGATTAGGAGTGTTTCTTTGTCAAAATGATACATAAATAATAGGATTCCCAGATAGCGTATAGAAGTGCCTCATTACTTAATGAAAACAGTTACTCACTTATAATTTCAGTATTAAATTCAGGTTTGCTTTGGCTTAGATTTAGAGGTCTAAAGTTCACCAATATTTTGAGCCTTCTGTCCAGTTATTGAAGGAAATCGATGATTTCAAATCTTCATTCCATAAATATATGAGTGTCTACATGTGATAGAGTGCTGTGCTAGTCATTAGGGATGTGATGCAGAGCAACCCAAGATGTGGTTCCTGCCCTTTCAGAGTTCACCTTCTAATAGGGAAGAAATACATTATTGAAATAGTATGCAAGCAAAATATAAAATTACATTAACATGCACTGGAAAAGAGCTACAGTAGTATGAGAATGTACACAAAAGTACTGACTTAGGGGATGTTGGGGAAAGCTTTCTTGAGAAGGCTAGGACTTGGAAGGTGAGTGAAGTTTAAATAGAAGCTGGGGAGTATGGATGCGTATTTAGATAGATGAATTAATTTATAGTTTAATTTAGTTATTTATGAATATTATTGGATTTTGCTATATCTGTGTTCTGTTTTGTAATTCCTTCACAACAGAAACATTAGGCCTTTTCCTTATTTTGCATTAAATTTTTTTTGTCATCACCATTGATCTAATTGTTTCCTCTCTCCTTGTGCACTGACATCTGAGCTTAAAAAATTTAATAATGTTCATGGCATTCACTTGCTTGATGTATCACATCCATCCATTTAGAATGATTTTAGTCATTTTAATTAATACGATTTTGTAACTACTTTAAGTATTTTTTTCCCATATGGATTAAGTCTGTTTAATGGAACCTCAGTACATTTGAGGCACTTCACAGCTGATTGGTTAAAAGTAATTATTTATAGCTGACTGATTAGCAGTAGTTTGACATCCATGTCTCTCTCACACAGGTGATTAGCCAGTCAAGAGCTAGGTTTAATCCTAGTATCAGCATGATTAAGAAGTGTATTGAAGTTCTCATAGACAAACAGTACATCGAACGCAGCCAAGCGTCAGCAGATGAATACAGTTACGTAGCGTGATGTCGCTCTCCTCTAGTGTGGGTGTGAGAAGATCATTGCCATCACCATTTGGTGTGTTCCTGTGGGAAAAAGCAGGCCTGTGCCTCCATAATTTGGTCATTTGGCAGCCCCTGTTTTTCTGCTGTTTACAACATCACCAGTGCCACGTCATGAGCGTCAGAGAAAATGCCTAGAGATATTTCAAGCTCATGTCATTATGACATTTCTTAAAACTTTATTAAAAGAATGAGTGAAGTATTGCTGAAATGTGGAAATTTGGTTGGGTACCATGCTTTTTCTCCCTTCACGTTTGCAGTTGATGTGTTTTTTTTTTTTTTTAATGTATCTTAAAGGACATAAAATAAAAAACTTAAATATTGTAATATGACAGATAACCTAATAATTGTATCTACATTAAAATGACAAACATGATAATGCTGCTTGTCAAATAAAAAAAATAAAGAAATAGAATGCCTTTTTTTATGTGGATGGAGTATCACACATAATAGTATATATATAAATGTTCATGAGTCATCAAAGCAGCTAATGCAGCTTTAGTTGCATTTTTATCCAAATGGTTTAATTCACTTTTACTCCTACTTAAGTCCTACGTGAAAAATGTCTAGATTATTGTTCTTGAATGCATAATAATGCATTCAACATAAAGAATGTTTTATTTTTATGGATTGGAACTGTGTTGGATTATGAGCGTTTTGAATGTTGAGGATTTAATTCTATCAAGAGTTTCTGGTGATAGGCTTACACCACAGAAATAAAGGACGAGGAGAATATGTGGTGGCCTCAAGTCTAGCATAGAAAGAGTTTCTCATTCAAAAGTTGTCTTCTGTTTTCATAATACATTAATTCTAATATAGACAAATACCCCAACTCTCTCAAATACCTCCCTTTCTACCTTTCTCTGGGTTATAGGAGATCCTGTGATACCAGTGTATTCTTTCCATTCTCCTACCTATATATTACCCTTACACACCCTAACATTTTGACACTAGATTCACTCTCACAAGTCATAGGTGCGCTTAGCACTGCATAACCTAAATACCTTTTTTTTTTGTCTGTATGGTGCATTACACCAGGTGCCACTTACATATGGACATGAAATTCCACTATTTTGTTTATTATATATATATATATATATATATTAACAGCAGTATTAGAATACTCTGGTCTATTGTATTATCTATCTATTCCACCACCACTATGATACACATAATGTAATTTTTTTAAGCTGGAATGTTTTAATGCATATCCCACATGAATCATTTTACTTACAGTACTTCAGTTTGTGTCTCTGACCAATAAGATCTTTTTTAAAAACAACAAAAACACAACTATAATGGCATTATTACACCTAACAATAATTACTTAGTATCATCTAATATGTGGTCCATATTCAAATTTGTTGCAAAATGGCTTCTACAGTTGGTTGGTTTGATTGCACTTTTTCTGACTCCTGTCTCTTTAAGTGTTGAAAAAAATCTACTGAACTTCCGATGACTTACTTATATACTGTATTTCTCATTTTACCTTTCTTCCTAGAGAGGAAGTAATGGCAAACCATATTAATATTGTACATTCACTGTCAGAAAACAAACCTTTGTTTTGATAACTTGTTGATAAAGTTTCCAAATTGATTCCTTTTTTTTTAGTATTTATAAATGTTAAATTAAGTCTTATCTTGATATCTAAATCGTCAAGAAAATATATTGAAAAATGGACAAAATACTTGTGCTGAGGTCTACAGAAATGACTGGCAAGAGTTTTCTTCACATCTTTTTCTCATTTTACCTGAAAGGAAACATTAAAGATACACTTGTGTGTGAGGAAGAAGAGGCCAGACACATTTGACCAAGTCTCCATCTGAAAGGGAGCAGTGTTTCAAATGAAGTCTAGCACACACCTTCCGCTGAGGAGAGTGAAGGGAAGGTTACAGTCTGGTCAAGTTAGGTCAAGCATTTGAAGTCATTACTGCAGAAGACCCTAGCACATGGCCCAGAGCACTAACCTGGCAGGCCCTGTGGGCAGAGGGGGTCAGAGCTGAAAAAGGGAAAGAAGAGGAAGGAGAGGAAAGGCTTCTCTGTGCTTGATCTTGGAACAAAAATAATGTGAGCAAAACTTTCAGAAGCTTTTAAAAAATTATTATTAATACTGAGATAGTTAACACAGTGAGTCAGTGATAACATTTTTCAGCCAGACAGCATGCAACTTTTGTTCACACTCTGTCCTCTTTGAAACCGGATTATTTTAATTGCTGCTGTAGGTTTATTCTAGGGGTTTAGTCCAAGATTTTATGACAGTTTGCTTTACTATAAACAAGAGAAGAGATACTTCTCGGGTTTGTGTTTTGCTTTATTTATAACTTACTACCTTTATAGGATTTTATAACCTGTATATGCTACAATGCTATAAAGTTTCTGTTAATTTTTTTAACCTTTACTGAGTACAGACTGTGACTGGTGCTTCCTCATATGTTATTTCGTTTGAACTTCAGATAATCCTGTTAACCAGGCAATGCTCCTCTCTCCTAGATGAGGAAACTAAATTAGGGGTTTTCCAGGAGTCATTGCCAGAAACTGCAGAACCTGAATTTAAATCCCAGTCAAAATTGTGGACCTAATAAATGCAGTCTCTCTCTCTCTCTCCTTCTCTCTCTCTCTCTCTATATATATAAAATAGCATATAAGATAGAAGTAACTTCAGTTTTTACATAAAGAATAGTTTTTCCTGACTTTAAAGAATAAAAATTTGTTTCTAGGTGATTTGTGAGAATCAACGCTTCCTATTTTAGTTTCTTAAGATACTTATTTAAGAAGTATATATACATTGTTAAACAGCTTATAGCTGATTCGTGGCAAAGGGTACTTGCAAATTTAATATCTTACATTCACATGTACAGCTATAGAACATTTATTTCAAGTATATATACTTAATGCAAACGTGTGTTCAGTTAAAATTTCTCCAACTATGTAGTAGCAATAGATAATTTATTAAGCTCTTAATTTTGGTTTCTAGTACACATTCTTGGTTGAGCAAGGTCAAAGTAAAGATGTGAACTTTTAAAGTACTAGTCCTAAGGGCAGCTGTACATAGACTGTAACTAAATGAGTAGAAATAATATGGAGAGGCCCACTGGTTGAAGTTCATGAAGCGTATGTAAAGCTGAGGCAATTAAATTAGGCAATTCTTATGTGAGATATACTACCCCATGGGCTAGAATTCATTAAGGTAGGATTCACTGATGGGGAGAAAAGCCCCTTTCATATATAGTGACTATACAACACAGGAAATTCTAAGGATCTTTCCTTCCCCTGCTCTCCGTCCATAGTTGAGCCAATTCACCTTTCATCATCTAACAAACATGTACTGGTGCCACGGTATTACGTGGATGTGCCACGGTATTACATGGATACAATCGTTGCAATGACAAGCAAAAAAGATATGGTCTGTGCCAACATGGAGCTTTTAGACTTGTAACAATCAGTCATAAATATGCCATTTCTAATGTAAGTGCTTGCGAAGGAAAACCCTGGGTACCTTAAGGAGAGTTACATAAGAGAAGTTAGAAGGGCAGAAAAAGCGGGAGAGCATATTCTAAATAGTAACAGCAAAGATCCTGAGGTAAGAAGCAGCAGCCGTAACCTAAGAACCAAAGTACCTGTATGGCTAAAATACGTGGCTTTTATGCAGGGCAAAAAAAAAGTTGGGTGGTAGGTGCATGAATATTCATTTTATTATGCTTTATAGTGTACATATTTATATTTTTTCTTTAGTGTTTGTGAACTATTTCAAAGTACTGTTTGCACATTTCAGTGGAAAATGGGTAACCTGCGTTAATGTGAAGAACAGATTCTAGAGGGCTGATGATGGATAGTGTGGATCCTAGGAGACCACCGCGAGGTGAGCAGTTACGGTGGTGGTGGCAGTGGCCATCTCCAGAGCGATAAAGTAGATGAAGCTGACATGTCTTCGTAATGCGTTGGGCTCGGGTGAATGACGAAAGGGATGAGTCAAAGATGGCTTGTAGATTTTTGGCTTTCACAACTCATGCAACTTAGTGAGTTAGAGGAAGCCTGGAACAGGACGAGGATGGGGGAGGAACATAATGAGCTTGGGTATAACACCTTGCATCTGATGTGCTTTTGAGATAACCGAAGGGAACAGGCAGTTGGTTCTACAGCCTCAAACCACTTTGTAGAGGCTCCTGCCCTGAATCTTGGAAACCATTCCCTTGAGGCTTTTTGATCCATTCTCATTTCCTTGACTCTTGCCATGAATTCAACAATGTCCAGGTTAAATGTGGTTAGAGATAAACATTTATTGCCAAACAAATGTATTACATACATTTTGAATCATAAAAACAAGAATGAAAAGGGATGAGAATATTTAGAAGTTTATACCCATTCTAGGATTTGTCTTTCTGTACTTCGGTGGGTGGTCTTTGTTATCCCACTTTGAGGCAAGGACACATTTATGGCAGTGGGGTAATTGAGCCAAAAGTTAATCTGCCATATGATTATTTCTTATATTCACAAATCTCTGTCAGCTACTGGTTACACACTGCCCTTGAGGGAGAAATATATCAGTGTTTTGCATTCTCCTGACAAGCTTAACGATACCATTTTTCAGCAAAAAGAAGGAACCTTTGGGAACCAACTTGTGGGAAAGAACTTGAGCATGAAAGGAAGGGTTTTTCCATTTTTGTTTATTATTTTTCTCCATTGTTAGTAGCTTACTATTTATAGTTACAGTAGTTGAAGAATTACAGCTTGTGTTAAGTTAGCAGTCCTGGGAGCAGGTAAAGTTAGTGGGTTAGCCAAATTGATATTTTCCTTGGAAGAACTTTGGTGGTGTAGGGAAAAGATGAAAAATTTCTGGTTTTATCAACTAGCTCATGAGACTACCCCTAACACTGCACTCAGTCATCTGCTGAGAGCCTCAACTTCTTAAAGTGGGTGGGTTTTACCTATTTGTCTCTTAGGGAAGAAAGGACAGACATGATAAGCAAAGATCTTCTTTTAGTAGTAGTAAACTGGCTTAGCATAAATTGTAACTAATATTTGGCCCAAGGAGGCCACTGATACAGCAGAAATATTCAGACATTAAAGGAAAAGTTGAATGCTGAATAGAAAAAAAAAGCTGTTTTAGTGTTTTAGTTTATATAGTGATGAAGCGACAAAATTTAAATCTGTGCTATGAAGTAAATATCTGAGATTCCTTGTTTAGATTGTATATTTTAAAATAACCATCTCTACATGTTGACAGTCAGGATGAAGATCTCCAGCCACTTGGTAAATTGGAAATATATGGTATGAGAAGAAATCAGGTGCATGCTCTCCCCACTTGTAAACTATGTGCTTGACCCTGTTTGGGGCCACCTTGTCCACTGCTCCACAAAACAGGGAAGAGTGGCACTCAGAGTAAGGAAGAGGTGTCCATAG